GGAGCCACTCGAGCACACGACTAGGGTGTTGGTACACGCAGTAGCCAGCCAGTGGATAGGCGTGGATGTTATCGCACACAATCTGGAAGACTACTGGATCATCGTCGGTGGCTCGTGGTTCATGGCTGAACTGTATCTCAAAGAACTCTTTGGCCGGAATGACTGGCGCTTCAGGCAAAAACTGATGGTAGACAAGGTCATCTACATGGACCGCAAGCGCCCATCGCTTCAGCAGCTTGCAGAGCACATGCAGTTAGATCCTCGTGAGGCCGAATTTATGGAGCTCAAGTCGCTTATGGTCCTCTCCATTCTACATAACCGCCTGGTAAAACAGAGCGGCAAGAACGGTGTTGACAGGTGCTTGTACCGGATGTTGTTCAATGCTCGTCAAGGAAAGTACCCCAACGGCGCAGTTACTACTGATGACTTTCTCGATATCTGCGAGAAAGTAGGCCACCAGAAGCTTGAATCATTCTTTCAGCAGTGGATTGTAGGCGCAGGATGCCCCACATTTCACTGCGTTCCTTCGTTCAACAAGAAGAAGCAGGTGGTTCAGCTTACCATCAAACAGCTCCAGGCAGACTCATCCATCACAACAATTGAGAACGGTCTCGCGGCAGATGACTTTATGCGCGAAGCGAAACAGAAATCTCGCGACTTGCGGTCAGCAACAGGATATCCCACTTTCGTAGGCCCCATGACTATCAGGATCCACGAAGCTGACGGCACCCCTTATGAGCATATTGTCGACATCAACTCGAATAATGTCAAAGTTGAGATTCCGTACAATACCAAATACAAGCGATTAAAAAGGAATCGATTAAACAAGGAGCGTATGGCCGCCGCCGCTGGTCTCGATGCTTCCGGCGAAACGCAAGAAGACGTCACATTTTACATGTTAGGAGACCTTTTTACTTCACCCCAAGAACACGAAGAGTGGCGACTCGACGATTGGCCACCGGAAGACGAAGCCAAGCAGGAGGGAGAAGCGTATGAGTGGATCCGCATCGACGCTGACTTTGAGTGGATATGTCGGACCAATATTGAAGACATGCCGTCGTACATGTACGTCTCACAGTTGCAGCAGGACAAGGATGTTGTTGCACAAGCAGAGTCTATACAGTTTCTTGCAAACAAAGAGGGCCACCCGTTGATCTCCACTTTCCTGGTCAAGACGTTGATGGACAATCGGTATTTCCACGGTATACGGACTATGGCTGCCATGGTCCTTGCCCAGAGCGCGCTGAAGCGGACTCAGTGGGTTGGACTCTTCCACCTGAAGAAGGCTTTTCGTGAGCTGTTCTGCTTGCCAAACTCGCCAATGACTCGATCAAATGACTTTTCTGACCGTAGCATGTACCTGATACAATGCGCTATTCCTAGGGCCATTGCTAAGATCAAGGGCGAGGACGGCAGGTCACCACTAGAGGCTAAGCGTTTCCTACTGGATCTCGTGCGATACAACGACAACCGCGGAAATGATTACAGCGACGACCATTACATTGCCACATTGATGCGATGTCTGGCTGAAACCCTGACCAAGACGAATATCAATTCTGATCTCAGCCATGAAGAATGGGCGCAGGAGCAGGACTTTACTAACAAGGCTATTGGGGAGCTTACTCGACACCAGAGGCTTGACGAATGGATCCCTACGTTCCAGAACGTGTACACGACCACTGCGCTTGACTGTGCGTTCAAGCTAGTCACAAGCCGAGTGACTCCCTTCAAACCTACAGAGTTTCTGCAGTATGCGCAACTAGGGAATGCAGACAATGTACGCTTAAAAGCGTGGGAGTGTCTCATTCGGCTGGGCATGTTCCGCAAAGATTCGGTCATGAGATTTCTGGTACATGAGATTCGGTCTGATCCTTCGCCATACTTTAGGAAGCAAATGCTACGTATCCTTGGCCTTGCCATCGGTCAGGTGGCTACCGGCGATGTTTGGGCGCCAGAAAAGGCTGCTGAAACTGCTGCAGACACGCTTGTGGTTGAGAACGAAGCGAGCAACGCCGAACGCGCATCCGCCCTTGCTCGTCAGAACCTTAACGGTGCTCTGAGAGGCTTGAAGAGCGACCTTCAGGGACACCAAACTTTGCGGTCGGTACTCGAGGAGGCACTCAAGTCCACAACTTTGTCGGTCAACGACATGTCTGAGATCCTGGACATATGCGATATGATATTTGACAACCAAAAGGTCAACAAGCTACCAGTCAAGTTGGCCCTTCCACGTTACTGGACTGTAGAGCATCTCGGAAAAGCAGTGCTGCGCTTCAAGCAGACCAAGAAATATAGGACGACTCCCAAACGGCCTTTGGTTGCCCCTCCTCCAGTCCCTGCTCCAGTTCTTCCGGTTGCTCCACCTCTTCCCTTACGAGAGCCAGTGGCTCCGGTAGCGAAGCCACCTGGCCAGCCGAAGCTGTCACTGAAGATTGGTGGGTTGCTAAAGAACAAGAGTGCATCGTCTCCACCGACAGCTGTCGACTCTATGCATGCCAAGTCGCGAAGTCAATCGATGGTGTTTTCGCCCACCGTTCGCTATTCGCCATCTCCTATTTCTCAGTCCACTAGGCCATCTCCAGCGCCGCAGTCGCAGTCACAGTCGCAGTCTCAGCCATCTCAACCCTCCCAGCCTGCCGCCACTTCTGCTCCTACATCTGCCCAGCCAGATTCTCGAGCCTCTACGCCAGAGATACCATTGATGCAGCAGCCTATGAAGAAGGTGTCTACTCCAGCAGCAACACCCAAAGCAGGAACCCCAGCACCAGTACCAGCTACTGCTCCGACTGCAGCTTCAGTACCAGCACCGAAAATAGTTACCAAAACTCCGGTCCCCCCACCAAGAGTCTCCGTACCAGCTCCCAAATCGGCTTCTGTTCAATCAAAACCAGCGATCGCATCCGTCAAGATATCAAAGTCTGTATCTACACCAACCATGTCATCGCCCGTCCCCCTACCTGCCCCCAAACTCAAGATCAAGACGAAGACTGCCAATGGCTCAACTGTAACTTCCAGGCCGTCAAGCGCAGCTCCTTCACCACGTCCCAGTGCCGCCCCTTCGCCTCGACCGACCATCGTCCCGCCACCTCGCCCCAGTGCATCCGTCCCCGGTCCCGTTGCCCGACCCATCATCAAGCAAAAGAGAAGCAAAATCGTCAAACTACGCCTCGCACCCCGCCTCCTCTCACGCTTCACAGGCGACACCAAGAAACGCAAGCTTATCATTGGCAACGGCAACGGCGACAACGACCGCCCCCTCAAGCGCCAGAGCCTCGAAACGGGCGTTCGTGTGAATGGAGGCAATGGCACGCCCAAGAGTGGTCTGGTCAGTGTGGAGCGGGGAGGAAGCGATCGACCGCGTCTCGTTGTCAAGATGAAGCTTGGAAAAGGCAAATTGCCTGTTGAGCGGAAATGGTAAATGAGATATGTGGGTTATGACGTATGAACGAGCTGTGTCTGTGTGTACTTGGAAAAGCAGATTTGTCAGGTGAAGTGATGAGGGGCGTGAGGGAGGAGAAAACATGCATTTTACGGTGTTTATTGATCTCGGGTATTCATCGGATTACTCCTACTACCTCCTCCTTCTTTTTTTTTTAAAAAAAAAAAACTCTGAAGGAAGGAGGGATGAAAGGAGGACGTTGAGAATTTTTCTTCTTCCCCCCCCCTCCTTTTGCAACGAAAACCAGAAGAGATGATGGGGATTACCGGAGGAAAAAAAAATTCCGTGACTGGCGGAAATGAAGGCGGGCAAATGGGATGGGACAAATGGGAATTATCGTGTTAGGCATAAACAGCATTCAGCGATGGCGTTTTTTTTCCTCAAACTTTCTTTTGGGGACTTGAAGTTTTTTTTAAGGTCTTCTTCTTCTTCTTCTTCTTCTTCTTCTTCTTCTTCTTCTTCTTCTTCTTCTTCTTCTTCTTCTCTTTTCTCTCTTCGTCTTCGTAGTCGGGATATTAGGTGGATATACCCTTTGTCTTCTTTTTCTTTTTTCTTACAAAGCCTGTGTTTTTTTCTTTCCTCTGGAGAAGAGAAGAAGAAGAAGAAGGAGAAGAAAATGAATAGGTTAGGAGTGGTGGGAGAAGGGAAGAAACAAAATGGAACAAATGAAGTATATTGTACATCTTGTGCGCTATCTTTTGCTTGGTACTGTGTTAGGTATCTTGGTGTAGTTTACAAAAAGAAAGTCAAATATGGGCTCTGAAGTCACGGTTTGGGCTAAAAGTAAAAAGAGAGAGAGAAAGAGAGAGACAGGAACGATATTAGTACTTCATGGGAAAAAAAAAGAGAAGAGGGCACATTCTGTACCCGATTATAGTACACTAGTTGATCTAGTATTCTATTAGCCTCCACTCCAAATGTCATCATTTTGCCCTAAATTCAGTCAAAAAAAAAGGAAGAGAAGCAGAGAAGAAAAAAAAAAGGCCGAGAATTCCCTCCCACGCTTCAAATTGAGAATGCATTTTCGATAAAGAATTCCTCCCTGCAATGTCCGAACCAAAAAAAAAAAAGGGATGAGCCTTTTTTTTTACCACGAGAGATAGTAGTAAGTACAAGAAAAAAAGGTGGGGTTGGTTGAAGAACCAGAGGAAGAAGAGAAAGGGACATTATCTTAGCGGAATTTACGCTCCCCAAAGCAATTGTTTGACGGAGAGTACGCCGGATTGAAATACGGAATCGGGCATGGGCGCTGGCTCGGGGGTAGTTGTCTTGGTTGCATCGGAAAGCACTGATGTTGCTGGAGTAGTGGCAGTGGTAGTGGTTGTTGTTGTTGTTTTCGTCGTCGTCGTCGGCTTTGGCGAGTCCTGCATCGTAGTAGCGGAAACAGCAGCATCCGGTGCGCTGTTTTCTTCTTCCTCTACAGTCATCATCTTGAGGCATTTAGCCTCGGGTAGAACGGCCTTGCTTTCCGGGCTCGTGGATATACGTTTCCTCTTTTGGTTGGTAAATCCGGGTGGACGGCCTCTCTTTTTTGGCGCTGCGAAGAACATACTTAGTTGGTTTAGACGGGAGAGGATGATTTGACGGTCTCACCATTCGTCTTGGCTGGGTCTGTTGGTGCAGCATCAGGATCGCTCTTTACCGTATCCTGTGGAGGGCCGTCTTTGGCGGCGGTAGCAACTGTGACGTTTTCGCTTTCCGTGTCTTCGGTTACACCAGGTGAGGCACTAGAATCAACTGGCTTCAATGCATCTTCCGCTGTCTCAATGACCTTGCCGCACACCAAACATGATATATCAACGTCCCATTGTCTTGTCTTGTCCTCTGATGTGGGGTTTTCTGTAATTGTAAGGCGAGTCTTGCCAGCGTCGGAGGCGCTTAGTTTAGCGTCAAGGCTAGGCTTTGCAGCCAAGTCATCACTGTTTGCTTTTGCACGCTTACTGGGCCGGCCCCTCTTCTTGTGTTTCTCGCATATGTCCCGGATTGCTTGCTGCTCAAGACAATGGGCATGGAGCCAGTCTGAACAATGGGGACACTGGACCAGAAGCTCGTCAGGGTTGATTGGCTGCTTGTCGATGCAATACTTGTTCAGTGCCTGCCAGGCTGTCAGTAAACAATGACGCATACAGGCAACGATACCCTTACGCTGAATGGATTGCTCTTTTTGGTGACGTCGTAGCTCTGCCTGAAGAACAACTGGTCTGCTGGCAGCGGTAGGCTATCTGGATCGTCGTTCCAGTGCACCACGTCGGCAAGAGACTGGACGGTCAGAGGTTCGATAATGTCCATGTGATTGCTGACAATGATTTCACTAGCGCCATGGTGCGGCTGGCGGCCGCCGGGTAGGTCTTCTGGGCGATATGCCCAAAAGACTCTGAGGAATACGTGAGAGGAATCGCCGGCGCGAATCTCGAGGATTTTGGCTAGCCAACCCTCTACGGTATGAGGCGGATTGGCACCATCTGAATCTTCGCCGTTTTTGACAAAGACTAATTGGTTTACTTGGAACTCTTCGCTGTTGATGGTGAACTTTCGGTAGCGAGTAGTGCTCTCCCAGTGCAGCGCAGGCGAGATTTTGACGTGAACGGTGCTGAGCTTAGTTTCAGGAAAAGGATTCTGCTGTACAACGTTGGCATCCAAGGGCGCATCTTGGCCCGGATACTTTGGTGTTTTGACCTCTGCGCCTGTCTTGTTGTTCTTGCTAGCGACGGGCTTCTTGTAAGGCTTGGTGTTTGCAGCGGTGATGGTGAAGCCTTTGAAATCATCAATGGTGGACCAATCGACTTTTTGCCTTTTGGAGACGGGGGCTTTGTCGCCATGTATGTGGGCTGCATGGCCATGGATAGCTTTGCGTTTGCGGGCCATGGTGGGGGTTGCGACGGGAGTATAGCGCAGGCAGAAAGGGTATTGGGGGTGATGAAGGATGGTTAGGCGGCGGCTGGGCTAGCTGTAGTGTGCAGATCCAAGGCGCGCAAGACGTGCAATGACAGGGAAACCAGGCGTCGAGCTAATTAGTTGGAGACAGAAGCGATGGCAGAAGTGGAAAGGGTTCGGTAGCAAAGAGTGAACAGACGCGTTATGATAAAAGTGGATCACCCGACGCGTTATCGGCCGCCGGGCAGAACCAAAGCAACGGGTCGCCAGCAGACGTGACAGGTCACGTGTCGGGCGGCTGGGCCAGCCAGCGGAGAGCGGAGAGTCGGGCTGCGTGGCCTGCGGTGATCCATGGGTAGTAAGCCGGCTGCAGGTGCTTGCATAGTATAGTTTATATGTACTTACTTACAGTAGTAGTAAGTAGGTAAGTAGCAGAATTGGGGACGAGGGTCATGTCGGACGCAGACGGGGGGGGGGGGGAGGATGCTGGGCATGTGATCAGCCCATGGAAGTGCCAGGGAAAATAATACCCCGGATTCCATTCTTGCATTGCGTGTGCACCTGCAGCGCGAGGGAGGGCCAAAAAACAAAAACACTACCAAGGCCGTACCAAGGCCAGGCTGCACTGCCACAACATCATCATAGTCACCATCACCACCGAACAAGATGACATCGGTGCCGACTGCCCGAGCACAAGTGGGCAGCGGCCTTTTTAGTCTAGCACGGGCGTCCGAATGCGCTTCAATACGACTCTAGGCCAATGAATAAGCGTGCTGTGACCACTGTCGTCCTCGGACCAAGCGCTGCATTAGGAGGCTAGCAGCCCGTCGCCGCCAAGCGCGCCCGTCGAGGGAGTTGTGTGTTCAAGAGGCTGTAGAGCGTCGAGTTGGGCAGGACCATGGGAATGTCGTGGTATGCACTTGGTCATGATGGCATACCTTTGATGGCGCCGCATTGGGTCCATGTTGAACACGACGGCCTACTCTTTCGCCGATCGTTTGAACCCTTCCGCGTCATAGCCTGCGCCATCCCTGCCATGCGCCCAGAAATTCCTCCACAAGTCTAACATGACCGCGCTGCTCCGGTATGCACCACATACATCTACCGCTCTTTTACTCCCTCTAGCCCCGATAATCTCTCCTCCCCATCCTTTTGTCTCCCGTATCCCCTCACCTCCTCCCGTCGCTCGTTCCCCCCCAAAGATCGCCTCTGTCCCTGCTGTCGACGCCCCTTGAGCAAGCCGTGTCCTTTGTGGCTGGCGCGACTGGTCCAGTACCATCGACACCGCACGCGCTGCTCCAAAGCACCTGCATTATTCATCCGCGACCCATCCGTCCCTCTGCTTCAAGTCCCTAGACCCTCTCGTTCGTCGCTGCCATGGGTCGTCCCAAGAGAGGTAAATATTGCGCCCCGCTGCAACTCTTTTGCCCTGCGCTTCATCATGCCCCTGTCGTCGCCTTTGGAACAAACAGTTGCTAACGTTGCGCCACGCTCGCCCCCTACAGTCCTCTCTTTCATGTCACAATGGGGTGGCCTACCAAATACCCTGCACAAAAACCCTCCCTCTGCTGGTCCCTCTCCAGGCTCCACGTCCCCCGCTGCTCCACCTTCACCCGCAATGAGACAGCAAGGACCCTCGCCAAATCTCACCCACTCCGCTACCGCCCTCGAAAGCTACAACAATGACCGCCCACCTTCTCGAACCACTGGGCGCGAGCGTAGTGACTCGCGAGCCTCTGTACGCCCTATGTCCATGATTCAGACATACCAGCCACCTGTCATGGAGGTGAGCCAGGATACGTTACCTGAGCTACAGCGCATCTTCATGTTTCTCAACAGCCATTCCAACAAGCTGTACCAGGAGGGCTACTTTCTCAAGTTTCATGACACCGATTCTCGTACGTCGATCCACCACGTCACGCATCCTTGGCCTGTGATACTGACAGCATGTAGGCGGCCGTCCCCCTCCAGACCGAAAGTGGCAAGAGTACTTTGTCCAACTTGTGGGCACCATTCTCTCGCTATGGGATGCGAGTGCGCTCGATCAAGCAGGCGGCGAGGGTGAGGTGATACCAACGTTTATCAATCTTACCGACGCCGCGATTCACATGGTAATTCCCTGCCTGACCTCGCCATGCATGCCATCACTAACTTGGCTAGATTCCTTCCATGACGCTCAAAGATGGCAAGAAACTCGACAATATCCTCAGTGTGTCAACAGCTGCCAGCAACAAGTACCTCTTCCATTTTGACTCGTACCACGCCCTAACACAATGGACTGCTGGTATCCGCCTGGCCATGTTCGAACACACCACTCTCTCCGAGGCATACACAGGCGCATTGATTGCAGGCAAGGGCAAGTCACTCAACAACATCCGTGTCATACTAGACCGACAGTGCGCAAAGTACGAAGACTGGGTCCGCGTTCGCTTCGGAGCTGGCACTCCTTGGCGCCGCTGCTGGTGTGTCGTATCTCCACCGGACGAAAAGGAGTGGATGAAGCTACAGAAGATGCATAAGAAGGGCAGTTCTTACGAGCGACCACCAGTTCTCAAAGGCGATATCAAATTCTACGACACCAAAAAAGTCACCAAGAGAACAAAAGCCATTGCCACGGTCAAGGATGCATATTCGTGCTATGCCATTTACCCGCAATCGAAACCGCTCATTGACCAATCCACCCTAGTCAAGATTGAGGGCAAGATTACTGTTCACTCGAACCCAGAGAGCACAACAGAAGGATTTGTTTTTGTTTTGCCAGAAACGAGGCCCGCCATTTCAGGTTTCGAAATCATGCTTCAGTTTCTCTTCCCCGTTTTTGACACGTTCGCTTTGTACGGACGGCCCAAGAAGCTAATCGCCGATGTTCTTGACACTCGAGGATTGATGTTTGCCATGCCTTCAGATCGACGATACGGATACTTGGAAATGTGGGACGTCGTGGGCTTGATTAACACACCAGGCAGTGACAAATGGTCGGAGCGTCAGTGGAGAAAACAGTTGAAGGATCTTACCTCGACACGTATGAACACTCTGGGTTCTGACGCTGGTTCCGTGTACAATCGAGCTAGCCGCAGAAACACCGTGGGTCGTGCCGGTTTCACTCCTCGTGGCTTACGTTTCGAGGATCACGGCTCGGTCCGCTCCAGCCCATCTACGCGCCAGTCATCACCTAGTAGGAAGACACTCCAGGATCTTGAAGTGCAACCACCGCGTCGGGTCGGAACTGCACCAGCTGCAGACCCATTTGGTACCCCGCGTCATCAACGCTCCGTATCCGAGCAAGTCAATGGTCGCAGCCAAACGACATCATCAAGGTTTGTGCCGGATCAAGCATCGATTGAAGACGAAAACCCGCCAACGCCCCCTGAACATCGTATATTCAACGTGACTCCACCAGCCGGAGCTGTACAGCCATATGACAGTTCGGATTACGATGAGAGTCCTTCGAGAGAACCACATGATCTGCCGCCGCCTCCTGCAGACTTGGCCGCTCCTCCTCAAGGCAACGTCGATCTACCCCCAACTCAGGAGCATGCCGCCAACCAGAGGCCGCCCATCCGGCCCAACATTCCCATGGCAAAGCCGAACCCAGCTGTTGATTCCGCTACACTTCAGCAAATGGCTGATGCCGTGCATGCACCATTGCAACCAGGCTTGGCTTACTCCAGCGGTGTCGCGGCTTGGAGAGGCCAGGAGAGCATTCAAAGCAGGCGAAGCGGCGATTACGCTGACCAAGGACAGATGATGTCTCTCGACGTCACCTCAAGACCACCTCCGACAAATCAGAACTCGATCAACCGTTTGTCCACTATTCCTGCATCGCCTTATGTTGAGCATTCGGAGTTTGTCGATCCTCCAAATACCTACCAGCCAGTTGCCCCGCCCGTCCCAGAGCATAGTGAGTTACCTCAGCAGCCACAAAGGCAAGAGCTTCCTTTCCGCCCATACCCGGAAAATGGCAGCATCACACGCAAGCCACTGCCAGGTCCGTCTCCCCTCGCCTCGCAAGAGGATGACACTCTATCGACCAATAGCTCAAGACTCGACAGTTTACAACACGACGTAGTCGACCTCGAAGCACTCGATGCTCTCAACATGGCCCAGGCAACTTTGGCCCGTCGACCCAGCGCATCAAGCAGCCGTTACGAAGATGATGCCGCATCTACATCAACACCGGACTATGCTAGCATTGTTGAAGAGGAACCACAACCTCCCCCACGCCGACTTCCTCAAAGACGTGAGGACCGCCCCAGAAGCGGCGTGTTGACAATCGTTGGAGACCCCAACGTGAAGGCTCCTGTAGAACAAGACCCGCATGGATACAAGTCTATACTAGACCCTGCCCAAACACCAGCTGAGGTACCCAACATTGACTTTGGACCAACCTATGCTCTAGATTTCAATGAAAAACGCCCGGGTACTAGCGGAACGATGACACAAGTGCTGCACGACGGCGGTGCCTCACGATCCAAGGAAAACCTTGCGACAACTCCAAATGAGCACAGGAGGACTTCATACATTTCTGCAGGTAGTTCGCCTCACTTGCCTTTGCATGTGCGCAGTGGCTCCGACTCCTCAAAGATTCAAGATTCACGGCAGGTACCCTGGCAACCAGCCGCGCCCCAAACCCATCAGTCAGATAAACAAAAGTTGGATCCTCAGGATTGGGTAATGCACCGCGCGTCTATGCAGCAGCCTAAGATGTATGGGCACGGGAGGAGCAAGTCGCACACGCCTCCACCTTTTGTTCGCACACCTTCCGGGGATTGGAGTCAAGTTCAGCGATCTCCGTACGAATCCTCAGGAATGGTCCGCCCACCTAGTCGTCCACTAAGCTGCGGGGTAGACACACTGCTCGAGCAACGACCCACAACATTGTCAGCTCGCGAACAAGAACAGGTGGCGCGCATGACAAACACGCCCCTTCTTGACCTCTCGCAGAATTCCAAGAAGTCGCAGCAAAAGGAACCCCCTACAGGGTTGACCGGGCTCATTGACAACCGCGAAAAGGAGAGGGCCGCGTCAAAAATCAATCGCCACAGTTATTCGGCAGCTATGCAAGTCGAGATTGATAGGCGTACCCTGCAGAACCAGCAACGACAAATCATGGAAGCCCAACAGCGTCAACAAATGATGATGCAACAACACATGCAACAGCAGTATGCCATGGCGCAAAGTACGTATGCCCCAAGCATGATGGGAACGCCAAGCGGCATGGCAGCACCAAGTGTGATGGGCACCCCTAGTGTGATGGGCACTCCCAGCGTCCTGGGCATGCCCACAGGTCCCGGCACACCATCCGGCGCATCTGTCATGGGCTACTCCACACCAAACCAGATGCATCCAATGTACCAACAGCAGCAACAATATTTCCCACAGCAGGCGTCGACACCATATATGCAGGTTCCTGGTGCTTGGACCACACCAACGGGGCAAATGCCACAAGGACAATACTTTCCTCAACAGCCTATGCAAGGCTATAGCAATGTGAGCCAGCAGCAGCAACAACAGCAACAGGCACCGACACAAGCATATGGTGCGAGCTTTGATCAGGCACAAGAGGCAGCGAGACACTCTTACCACCAGCAGCAAGGTCATTTGCGACGATGAACGGACCCACAGCCGTGAGAGCGATTGCTAAATTTCGAGATCGGGTTTAATTTGTAATATTCCGATTGGATAGATGGGAGTCAATCCTTGTACATGTTTCCTTTTGTATCTTTTTCCTTTGTTCAGTTTGGTGCATGGCATGCCTTGACGGCCTCGGTGCATCTAGAAGTTTTGGTTTTGGGCTTTGGATAAAAACATTTTTTTTGCATGGTTGGCTCCAGACATTGGGATGGAGTTGGGTTTAGGGTTTTCTAGACTACATTTTTCTTCTTTTCTTTTCTTTTCTTTTCCTAGCGTGCTTGGTAGTGGAGGTTGAATACATGCATAATTGCCTTTTTGGTATTAACCTCTATCCTATGACGTAATGATGCATCTTCTTGTGATTTCTTTTGTAGTGGTTTGGCGTATTCTTGTCGTATAGTAACAAAAGAATTATTGAGAGACATCGCTCTCGGAACTTGTTCAGCATCTTTAAAAAAACGATATTTGACTTGGGAAAATAAAGAATGCGCTCCAAGGCAGAGTCGCAATATCATTCATCTCTAGTGATCCCGCAGATCCGTAAAGATCGGGAACCTCGGTTGCGGGGCAAAAAAAATACTTGACCCCTCTCTTCCTCTGTCTCTCTTCCCCTCATCCCAAAGAGGAGAGAAAAAAACACTGGCAGCTAGCTAGCTACCTACCACCCCCGCCTTTCGACAAGCCTAGCTAGTCGCAATAACCGGTCCATGCACCAAAATCGCCTTCTCATTACTAAAATTCGGCACATCCTCCATAATCTCTTTAGTACCCGCATCTTTAATCGCGGCCTGAAAGCCCTCGTAGCTCTCCCACTCAAGCACCGAGACGAACGCGTAGGGGCTGTCGGCGTTGAGCTCGGTTACTTTGTAGCCTTTGAGGCCGTGCTTGGTCCAGTGCTTGGAGGCCAGGGGCATGTGCGTTGAGAGGTAGTAGTCTGCATTGAAGGTTGAGGTTGGGGTTTTGGGGTAGAGGACTAGGACTGTTGCTGGGGCCATGGTTGGTTCGGTCGTGGGTGTTTTTTTTTGGAGGGGTTGTATATGGTTTTATTATTGACGGGGTAAATGATGTTGTTTGCAAGTAGGTGTGCGATGAAGGTTTCTTTTATATATGTGGGTATTGGGTTTTTTTAGTTACCTCGGTTTTCTCCACTTTTTTTTGGTCTTTATCGAGGTGATAGCCCCCCCCC